CTACTCGACGTCTCTGAATGCTGCACTCTCGTCTCAGGTCTTTATAGCAGCTTATCGCGCGTAATACATCATTCTAAAACACGGCGCTCAAGTTCAAATAAATCCAGCTTCTAAAAACACGTCTCTAGACCAAAAAAAAAAAACTTCCACTGACCTGTCTCGCGACCAAAACACTATCTGTGTGAACCCAGCATTCTAATAGTTGTAGCGGGTTTGTTTATGGTCCGACAAATACAAATGAATGGGCCGCATATGTTTTTTTGTTTTTTGTTTTTTACTTTGTGCTACGTCATCGCCCCCTCATCAGTGCTGCGCTGGCGCCGGCTCACTGCAAAAAAATGCTTTTCTAGCTTAGATCTTTTGTCTTGTTTCCAGGTAAAATATCTAAAAATTCTTAAATCAAGAAGGATTGTCTAGACAAGTAAAAATTATTGTCTTGTTTTCAGAAAAAAACAAGTCGAATTCAAGTGAGTTTTAGCTTGAAACAAGATTATTTTTCTTACCCCATTGGCAGATTATTTTGCTTGTTTCAAGCAAAAACTCACTTAATTTTGACTTGTGTTTTTTTTGAAAACAAGACAATAAGTTTTACTTGTCTGGAAAATCCTTCTTGATTTAAGAATTTTTAGATATTTTGGCTGGAAACAAGACAAAAGATCTAAGCTAGAAAAGCATTTTTTGCAGTGCTCTGGGTCCAAATAAACTGGGTACTGAGCTCATCTTTCAAGAGCAGTATTCGAAATGGCATTATAGGGGCACTTTAAACAAAGCCAGCCTTCTAAGCCATGATAAACAGTTAACAAAAGTACTGTTTGTAGGGATCAGTGAATATGTGCGAAAAGCTTTCCTTTTATTATTAATAATGTTAAAAGTTTAAGCGACTAACTTTTGTTATCGAAATGCTTCTGTTGTACTAATTTGTAAGTCGCTTTGGATAAAAGCATCTGCTAAATGATTAAATGTAAATGTTCAGGTTAACAATAAGAGGACAATAAGAGGTAGGCTGGTCAGATTAATTATACTGGAGTCAGATGATTAACTGAATTATACACGTCATCCTCCAACTGCTTTTTGTTCTGTTTATTAGTTCAAAATGACAGCATAATCTTCCATCCTTATGTGTTCATTAACCAGAATATAAATATCCATGATTCTGCAGAATATGTATTTTTATAATAATTAATAAACATGGAAGCTCAAATATGTGAGCTTCTGGGTTTACTGCATTTAACACGCTCTTTGTTTGTGCGTTGATAATTGTTTATATGTGAATAAAAGCCTGATTAAATCTGTATAAACCTTCATTTTTAGGTGAACTATACACAACACATTTGTGACCCTGGAGCACAAAAGCAGTCTTAAGTCGCTGGGGTATATTTGTAGCAATAGCCAACAATACATTGTATGGGTCAAAATTATAGATTTTTCTTTTATGCAAAAAATCATTAGGATATTAAGTAAAGATCATGTTCCATGAAGATATTTTGTAAATTTATTACCGTAAATATATCAAAACTTAATTTTTGATTAGTAATATGCATTGCTAAGAACTTAATTTGAACAACTTTAAAGATGATTTTCTCAATACTTTGATTTTTTTGCACCCTCAGATTCCAGATTTTCAAATAGTTGCATCTCAGTCAAATATTGTCCTATCCTAACAAACCATACATCAATGGAAAGATTATTTATTCAGCTTTCAGATGATGTATAAATCTCAATTTCGAAAAATTGACCCTTATGACTGGTTTTGTGGTCCAGGGTCACAAATTGTTGCATTTTTGTTTTGTAATATATGGTTAAGCCCCTACAAATTACTCTTATGAATTATTTTCACAATTATCAAAAGAAAAAAAAAAAACCTAAACAAATCTCTTTCAGACTCATGAGTTACTGACTGGCTCATGTCATTGAAATTAATTTCTACTATTTTTTCCATTTTGAAGTTCACCCAAAAATCCTGTCATTATTTACTCTCCCTCATGTCATTCCAAACCTGTATGACTTTCTTTTTTTCTGGAACATAAAAGAAGATATTTTGAGAAATTCTCCATGCAATAATCACCAAAATTGTCTGGTTACCAACATTCTTCAAAATATCTTCTTTTGTTTTCCACTGAAGAAAGAAACTCAAACAGGTTTGGAACTACATGAGTGTGAGTAAATGATGAAAGGTTGATGGGTCTCTTTAACCAGAGTTTTTGTCCTAACCAGATGCGACAGGGAACTGTATTTTTGGAATGGTTTCTCTTTCTGCGACGTCTCAGCTGAACTATCAGGTACTGACTGCGTTTTGTATAATATTAAAATGGTTTAATTTATATTATTTTGATTATGTACTGCAGTGCAAGCAAGCATTGTGCTTAAAGAGAGAGAATGAACAACTGGCTGATTTTTCAATGATTTTCTCCTGTCTTTGACTTACATTTTTACACAAACATGTTTTTTTCCTATCTAGATAGGCAGTCCAGCAGAGTAAAGGTGTTAAAGGTACTTCAGAAAAGCAATGAGAAATGCTTAAGAAGTCAAAAACAGGTTGCAGATATGCAGTCAAGAGTGCTACGGCGGACTCAGATCAAACTCAAATCCCTTCTACACAAACCACTAATCACACTGACCTGAGGTCCCATCCTTGCTGGAGAATGTGGAGCAGGTTGACTTTGTGTTGTGAGTGCTGTCTCTCCCTCCACCTGTCCTCGTTCTCACTCATGTGAGGGGATTGAGATGCTTTGAGACCTACAAACACACAGCTATGTTCAAATATTTCACCAGTATCAGCAACAGCCCTATCCAAAAACATCAATAAGGAGAGTCTAATCCTGGAAATGTATGGGAATGGTCACTGTAATTACAGCACCAGGTTCATTCTTGTATGCTTACTTTTGATCAATTTAATGCATCCTAATAAAATAATAGCATTAATTATTATATTTTTTACTTGCTTCTGAACTTCTGAATGGTAGTGTATCACTGTTTCAAAACATTGTTTTAAACATTGATAATAATCAGAAACGTGACACTGAAGACTGAAAATTCTGCTTTGCATCAAAGGAATAAATTACATTTTAAAATATATTTACATAGATGTTAAATTTCAATAATAATTCACAATATTTTGCTGTATTTTTGATCATAAAATGCAGCCTTGTTGAGCAAAAGAGACTTATTTCGATAATAATAAAAAGTATTTATTCCAAACTTTTGAACGATTTCAAAAGCTTACCTTTGTCTCAAACCCAGACTTTCAATAATAAGAAAAATTTATTTTAAAGCTAAAATAATATAAATAAAGAGTAAATTAACTACTTGAATGATTTATATAAATTTTCACTCAAACTAGTAATGGAATCATAACGAGCAAAATGTAAAATTTTATTTAAAAAAATATATATTTACCAAGGAGACATTAGTGTCAGAATTTAAGATTAATATTTTATTAAACCTCATTTCTGAGCTGTAATTTGTCAAATTATGCGAAAAGTGAGAAAATATGATTTAATTGTGATTATTATAAAATAAAATGCTAGCTATAAAACTGGACAAAGGAGTTTTTTGTAAAAAAAAAAAACAAAAAAAACAAAAACGGTATGACCTCTCCTGTGATCCATGTATATCAAATGCTAGACACTGTTTGTAAACAATTAAATAAAATTCCAACTTATTAAACTGGACAGAGTCAAACGTGTCCGTTGCAGCTGATTTTAGTAAATGCTCATTACATGATATGAGCTGTCTCTCACCTATTGTTAATTTCGTTCACGAAAACTATGATGAAATATGTTCGTCAACAAGGTTTTTTCCCCTGACGAAAACGAGATGATGACGAGACGATAATAAGGTAATTAAACGATAACTGAGACTAAATAAACATGCAATATCGTTGCCAAAAATAGACGAGACTAAAATGTAGTTAAAAGAACAAAAACTTTACCAAAACCTTTTTATTTTTGTTGAAAAAAGTGGAGCCAAAACATTTCAGACTGCTGTACAAGACTATTACGCGAGCGTTCATGTTTGCGGTTACCAGATATCAAGAGCTTAAGTCCCCCAAACAGAGCTTTTCTGTTAAACGGATACGTACGTAACTCTGCCTGGCTTTTTGGCGTTATGCAATCTGGCAACTATTCACACGCGCTCTCTCTGTGATCTGAAACACAGACATACAGTACTGTTCAATCTGGAGTTCAGCGATCTCTGTTTGAGGTGTTCTGCTTCAGTGAAAGTGTTATTCAGCAGTCTGTGTTCTGTCAGGGATCTCCACTGTATTGTTTGCTGATTGTAACGTTACTTACGCAACCTCTGTGCAGCAATAAGTATTTTTGCCGTTGTTTTGAAAGAGAAACATTAATGCAATTTGGAATTATTGTAATTACTATTAGGAATTTCTCTGTTATAACATTTGAGAGTAGGTTTTTGTTACAGCAGTTTTCATAACATAGACAGTGCGAGTGTATATCTGAAGTCTTTGGTGTTTATTTAGCTTCTAATTGATATCCAGTTATAAATCTGTACACTAGATGAGGTTAAATAAACCATGCATACGAGTCGATATTCTATTGATTTCTGCTTACTTGCGAAAGAGCAACTTCTGATGAAATGTAAAAATAAATTTCTCATTGCAATTAAAATTGAGCAAAATAATATATTTCTTTCATCATTTTAACCATTATAGAGTAAGATGAAAATATGAAGAAAATGTGTAAATTCTCAGAAATGTAGTCGACTACAACGTAACTAAAACTAAAACAGGACAAGTTGACTAAATATGATAAAAACTAAAAGTTACATTTGACACAGGACTAAATTAAAAATAGCTGACAAAATTAACACTACTCTCACCTCGGGTACAAATGACAGAGATCTCAATCAGTACATGAACGACAGGCGTCCTGTAACTCAAACGTCATGTAGAAAACGAATTCCCTGCACACATATCATGCAAACGCAACTGCTCGTCTTCTTCCGGCGGGGGCTCGTCCGGGTTTGCGTATCTGCTTGCGCATATTGGACCACATGGTGCGTGTAGAAGGTCCCCACAACCAGAGATATATCATCACTCACCCTGTTCCTGTGGAATCAAACACAGCAAAACTGATTTTTATAACCGTTTGTGTGCTTGTTCGCATTTAGAGGTTGAAATTTCAGGCACTAACCTCGATCGGGAGATCACAGATCTGAGAAACAAAGAGCAACAGATCATTTTAAAGAAATGTAAGTCTGGGAAAGCCATTCTGAAACATTATAGACAAAAGCTGGCATAAACTTGGCCATATTGGAGTTTAAAGGTACAGTTGACCCCAGAAATGAAAATGAGCCATCCAAGATCAGGATGAGTTTGTTTCTTCATCAGGTTTGTAGAAATGTAGCATTGCATCAGTGTCTCAGCAATGGATGCTCTGCAGTGAATGGGTGCCGTCAGAATGAGAGTCCAAACAGCTGATAAAAACATCACAATAATCCACACCACTCCAATCCATCAGTTAATATCTTGAGAAGACAAAAGCTGCATGTTTGTAAGAAACAAATCCATCATCAAGGTGTTTTTAATCACTGCTTCTGACCAAAATAATCCATAACAACGCTTCCTCCAGTGAAAAAGTGCATCTCCTGCTGTCTCTCACATCAAAATCCAGCCACATATTTGTTTAAAGCTCTTCTGGATGGCCTGAGAGTGAGTGATTTTTCAGCTCACTTGTGGGTTAACTGTTCCTTTAAGGGCTCCTCTAAGAAAAATAGCCATTATATCAGAGCATATAAGCCTTTGTATGACATACTTGCACTAAACATCAACAAAAAGCCCTCAAGCTGAAGATTCCTTAAAAAGATGAAGATCTTTCCAACCACGGTGGAAAGACTTACCTTCCATGGAAAAGTTTATTTTCGCCAACATGGCATTCATAGATGTCTTGTATTCCAGATAATCACTGAAACAAAATACAGAGAGAGAGAGAAATAATTACAGACAGATTAATTATATAACAAGTCCTAACAAATTCTGCGGTAAACAATCAGTCCTGTCGGTTTCAGCGGTGACTCTTATGCAAACGAGCAGATACAAGCTGAATGAGAACATGATGTTTCTTGCACTTTTCAATTGTGTAAAAACAGTGCACTGCCGAAATGAGAAAATAATGTGTGTTAGCTTTCCTCAACAACTGCCCTGCATGTTTATGACAAAACACACGTAACGATGGGTTAGATGCTTTACGGTGTTTGGTCGACTGTTCGGCCAGTTGGCTCTCCACAAGAGCGCATCGGTCACGCTTGAGCAATATTCCTACGCTCTGCCTTCAAGCAGCTAGGATTAGAATAACTGGCTAATGATGTGAATTACAAAATTATGAGGTGCTGAACATTAAATGACTGCACAGTTTTTCCAGACCAATCTCAAACAAGCATTTGAAAAGCTTTACCTATTTGCCTGTGTCACATAACAATATATTTTGGGTGAATTTAAAGTTTTTTCATCTAATATTAATATTTTATTTTATGTCAGCTTGAATTCAATGAACAAAAACGTTTTTGATAGGTTTTAGTTTTATCTAACAATAATAACCGTGCTGTAGATCTGGAAAACAGAGTGTGACTCCACTGACCTGTTTTTATCCATATATTTTACATGACTGATCTTCTTAGCCTGCACATATTTTCTGATATTCATCATGTTCAGTGATGATACCCACTCGTGCGTGTCTCCAGGCCTTCTGCATTCAGAGGCAGAGCACACTGTCCCAATCAGGAGCGAGAGCACATGCATGACTGATGGAAATGATGGACGCATGACTTAGCATTGCTGAAATCTCATTTTCACTGCCCGTCTAACATACTCATGTTTAAAGCAGAATGAAGAAAGACTGAGGCTGGCACTGATTGCTCTGGTCTAAGCACATCTGGTTTTCGGAGGCATCTGATCTAACGGAGGGTGATCCCTGTAACCTGTTCACAGATGTTTCCTATCACAAGTAAGTGGTGTAATACTGCACCTGAACATTATTTCATTCTAGTCTTCAATTGTGTTTATGTTAACATCCTTACTACACTGAAAAAACGGTGTAGGATTTACTTTGAAACAATTTTCCCCCAGAAATAGCATTTACAAATGTTGTTGTGAATTTTTAGATATATTGACTTTGTTCATACATTCTTTGTTAAGCTCACGGGCAGCATTAAAACTGCATGGAAAGACTGTAGTGGGAACTCACCCTGCGATAAAAGTTGATCTAGTTCACATATTTACACATGTTGGCGGGGACTTAACGGTTTAAAAAGCTGTTGTTCAGCATTAGCTTATTAGGTTTACATTGACATTTTATGAATTAAATGCTTACATTATTTGTAATCTGTCTCTAAATGTTTGCAACTCAGGGGATACATCGCCCTTTTAGGGATATAAATAAAAAATAAAATATATATAAAGACTCTTGAGATTATGTGAAATCTTTTTGTAATCTTGACAAAACACATATCGTTGGAAAGGTCTGATAGTCAAGATTACATATTTGGTGACTGTTTTGTAATAGAAGTGATATTGTGACAGAATACAGCATCAAAAAAATTAAATAGAGTTTGGGTGTCACCCAGTGGTTATTTATGGTATAGCGCCCAAACAAAATCTCAAAGGAACCACAATTTTTGTGATATCAACTTCAAATTTGGAACATAACTTGGTTAGACATATGGCTTTGATTTTATAGCAACTTTAGAGTGCAACATATTTTTTTATAAAATATTTATTTTATATAAAATAAAAAATATATATACTTTATATACTTTTTTTTTTTTTAAATGCTTTCACTTCAGCAATTATCTTCTATGTGTCGTCTTTAAAAAGAGACCAACCTTAGGTCTGTATTCCAAAGTGTTTAGGAATTACAACCATTTGTTTAAAATGATGTAACAAGCATTGATAAACAAGTTTTCAGTGAATTTATAACCCCAAAGTGGCAACGTATCCTAGGGGATACAAACATTAAAATCAAAAATAAGAATCAAGTTTTGAATAAAATCATGAAATTGTATTATTTGAGTCCCAATGAGATGGATTTTCTGATGTCTCTTTATGGTCTTGCCCTTTAAAGGGTTAAGTTGCTTCAGTCCAGTATGTTGAAATAATATACTAGATGTTCATCTTGAAATATTACTAACAATATTAGTTATTCTAATGTTTAATTTATAAAAATCATTAAAGATTTCACAACAAAAAGACAAGTGTACCATGACCTGAGAAGGGACTTTTGTACAATTATACTAAAACACATTTTACTTGCTAAAAAAGTATAAACTATCAACGGGGTTTTCAACAAAGTATTGATCATGTTGATAATTTTCGAATATTATACAGTAGGCATTATTATATAAGATGGAAAATAGCAATAAATTAATTTTCTGATGTCTCTTTGTAGTCTTGCCCTTTAAAGGGTTAAAGGAGTCATGAACTGAGAAATCTAATTTCCTTGATCTTTTGACATATAACAGTTCATTTTACTATAAAAACATTCTGTAAGTTTCAGAACTCGAAACCTTCTTGTTAGTTTAAAAACAGCTTTTATTGAAACCAAGCTCAGAAAACGACTCGTTGTGGAATGTGCCACTTTATGATGTAATAGTGTGGCTAAGCCCCGCCTCCACAGGAGAAGATCAACGCCTGCTTCTACATCACTGCCTCTTTAGCCCCGCCCACTGAGATGCGCTTATAGTAGAGGAGAGACGCAAACACAGGATTACTCCGTCAACAGAAGCTTAAAGGATTACAAGATGCTGTGTAGTCTTGAGTTGTGAAAAAACTGTCCTAACACCGAATCTACATGAGACATGAGTGTTGTTGCATTGCGTTGCGAATCCATTTGTCTTTCATGTCAGAAGTGGCGTGAGCACCTGGAGTATGTCAGAAATAGAGCGGGACATCAGTTTACTGTCAGGGATCTGTCGTGTCAATCCGTGCCAGAATCGCCGATTATAATGGGTTCTGTTGTCTTTAGTCGCGTCGCGCCACTCGCGTCCAATGTAGACAAAAAAAGAGCTCCAGATTGCATCAGTGAAACATCATTTGTTTGTTTGCTTTCATTTACTGTGGATTCCTTTTTAAACAAGGCAGTTCGACGCAGGCTTTTCAGAGAGCTTAAACGTAAAGAGGATGCAGTGCTGAATCGGACGATATTCGTTCCAATGTAGCAACACAGAAGTGTGAGTAAACGTGCTTTTAACACGATTGCATTGCGTGTTCCAGACAGTTTGATATATAGAGTATTTACACATTTTTAACCCAGATGACCCATGCTGTTTTCAGAGTACGTCACAGCAGTGTCTATCTGTTATTGTAATAAGCGAAACTGTTAGCCAATAGCTATGTTTCCATCCACCTATTTTTATGCGCATTTTGGATTATCGCATAAAAAAACCGCTGGATGGAAACGCCAAGATGCGCATAAATTCTAAAAATGCACATAAAAAACGTATGC